TGTGGCCTGCTACTACGCCTCGGGAAAGGGGGGTTTCGGGGACAGATCGAAGCCGTGGGGAGTTGGGGCTGGCATCCTGTAAAAGCCTGGGTTAGTGCGGGTTGTTAAGGCAGCAGTAGCTGGGATTACTGTCGCGATTAGCCTGGTATCTGTTGCTGTGCAATTCTGATTTGCTCTATTTAAAATGTAAATAAATGTTTGCAAATGAAGGCAAAGTGTCACTGTTTTACTTTTTCTTGGGGGTCTGAATTTTGCGAATACTCTGTGTCCAACAGCCATGTTTTGGAGGGGGAAATATATTTCATTAAAACTTTTACATGTACAGGCATGGGTTTTATTCCCCTTAAGGTCTGATGTTTCTTGTTCCGGCCATGTTGATGGTGTCTGCTCAGGGTGACAGTTTCAGCTATTGAGCACTTGGCATTTTGAATTAGTTAAGTAATATGACTTTCTTTAGTCTAAATACCTGTAGGAAATTGTTCAATATGCAGGTAGAGGAATGCTGAAAACAGGCTTCTCAGAGGGAGGTTTCCCTCCCTTGGCAGAAGATACTATGATATTCTACAGAAATTTCAAGTGCACTTCAAAGAAAACGAAATCTCTGATCCATGTGCTCCAGATAACCCACTATGCCGATTTTTGTATTTCCACCAAATTGGATATTACGATGGGAGAGACAAGTCAGCAGAAGTCAGGGAAGAAGCTGCTCCTTGTGCTCGCATGGATTGCTAGCTTCAAAGTCCAGTCCAGGTTTAGGCATGAGTTTGAAATAGAAGTGGGCACTGGTCATATAAATCCATTTCTGTCTTCAGCATAAGTGACCGAGATCACGTACCTGTGACGATTTGCTACCATAATTATGAAAAATGCAATGAAATTCCTGTCCAAAAACCATGGTTAGCTGGAAGCCAGCTGTTTTTGCTGGCACACTGGTAGCTGTTAATGGGGTTTCATGAGGCTGTTGGAGTGGGAACTAGGGACAGTTGGAGGTCTGCTTATCTGCAGCAGAGACTGAGGAGATACTGCTGTGGCACAAGTTTGCCAGGTCGTCTATAGTGGGACCTAGAGTAGCTGTCCTATGGTATGGACAGGATTAAAATGAGTGCCTGTCAGTGGGCGGAAGCAGCTGGAACACCTGTGGATGCTCAGTGAAATATATGGCTAAATGAAGGTATATATTGGTACTTGAGGTGTGTGCATGGTATTGTTGGGTCTTGGACTGTTGCTGGGTGTCCAGTGGCTGTAGCCGTTCTTTTATCTGCAGCTGCCTCAACTGTTGTCTTTCACTGTTGAGTCTGGAGTTTCCAGGGGTCTGAAATATCCAACACTAAAGCTCTGTGAGCGAGGTGATTGCCTGTAAGATTTTGGGTGGGTTTAACTTTTATGGTTTTCATTGGTTTTAACTTTGACAGTCATTTTTTTGATATCTGATTACCTGAAAGGCTGCTCCTATCCACATGGGGTAGTGCTACACTGAAGGGCATAGAGACGCCCGAACTAGAGTCCCCTTCTTTTTGTAGAAAGGAGGCTGTTGATCAGTTTTTGTGAAAGATTGGTCTCTGAAACAGTTTTAATCTGAAAGACATCTTGGAATATGTTTAATGTTGAGGGTATATCAGTTTCTCTATACACTACTGATTTGGATGTCATGGTTTTGATAAGTCTGATGTGAGGCAGAAAATTTGGAGTTAGTGACAACAGAAAGTTGATCAGTGGGTCAGTCCTTAAAAAGCCTTGTACAGTAGCTCTCAGATTTTTCCTAACTGAATGATAATGTTTTCACATTGCATGATGTCACTCAACATGAAACGATTACTCTTGATTTTTGGCAAGATGTACCTTATTTTCCACAGTGAATTTTAAGAGGCTGTGTCATCCTGGCTACTCACAGACTTGCTTTCAGACAGGAAGTTGCTAATGCACAATCATAGAAAGTTGGGGGTTTAAGAGCATTAGGACACATTTTTCAGTGCAGTAACTTCTTATGTCTTTGAACTGAATTGAATTTCACCACCAAAGCTAACAAACAGTGTCCCAAACCCGTGCTCCAGACGGGGCAGAGAGTAAGATCAGGAAGCTAATGTCCTCACATGAAGGCAATTGATTGCTTCTGGAAATGCTACCAGGTACCCCAGAAAATAAAATTATGGGACACTGAGGGGTTCTAACTTCTTCAAGTCAGCTGGAGGAAGGTAATACAGGGATGTAGTAGAAGGGGGTAAACAAGCAGGATAGGGAGAGAGAAGGGAGAGGAGATAGGTTTGCAGTGAACAAGCCAACTTAAAATTTGCAATGAATATTCATTTAAATTTGTTTCATTTTTAGGCAAAAGCAACAACTATCAAAGAAGCTCTAGCCAAATGGGTGAGTACTAGAACAGTATCTAGTATCTTTGCAGCATGGGTTTTGACGGTGTTCAGCTAAATTTATTTTTCAAGGTTATTGTAAGAAATATTTTTGCTCGAAACATCTTTTATAAGAAGTTTCATAAAGTAGAATTTTTATTGTTGTTGTTGTTATTGACATATAATACATTCTGTTGGACTTTCTCTGTGTTCTTGTTAAATTGATACAGCTGGTAAAGAT